CTATATAAATCAGAATCAGATTTTGTCGTATTTGAATAAACATAACATAACTCTAACGGCTTATTCACCGATCGGTGGCACCCGTTATCCGGATCTTCTCAAAGATAAGAAACTCATTGAAATCGGAACCAAACATAACGTGACCTCAGCTCAGGTGGCCCTCAGATTTGAGATCCAGAGGGATGTGATTGTTATCCCTAATTCACAAAACCCTAAATATATCAAAGAAAACGCAGATTTATTTAACTTTAAATTAACGGATGAAGAGATCAAAGAAATCGAGGCTTTAAATAAGGATTAAATTATTTGTAGTTAATTATTATTTATAAAATGTAATAAAAATTAATAAACTATTGTAATAAAATTGTTTATTATAACTAAAAGAATATTATAAATGTTTTTCAATTATTTAAAGTATAGTATCTAAAAATAATTTTTATTCCTGAAAGTAAAATATTTTAAATTATTTTTAAATTATGAATTATAAGCAAGTTTCTAAAATATACTATTGAGTGAATATGACCGATTAAATTAGAGTCTAACAGTCTGCAAAATGTACCAGTATAACTCAATATTATTTTAAACTTAATACATAATATTTTAAACATCAAATCTAAGGATTAACTTCATATTTTGAGTAAAAATCTAAAAGGTATAACTAGAAAATCATTATATATCCAGATAGTTGTAAGCAATTAAAATGTTACGACCTTTTAGATTTTTATTAAAAATATGAAATTATTCATTAAACTCGTTGCATCACATATATAAAAATTACCTAAACATTGACACACTATAAATAAATAATTAAAATATATACCAGTATGAACATGTATTTAAAAATTGTATATAGATTATCTATCTTGAAGTGGTAGACATTGTCACAAAGTTATAGTTTGGCACAATTACAGTAAAATCTATTAAATCTTACTTTATATTCATAATAATATATTTTATTATTATAATTTTCAAAGTCTTAATTTATAATAGTCTATCAACGATAATAAAATTGAAGTTTTGAATTTATTATTAATACATCTATATTTAATAAATTAATGTATATATTTCTTAAATTATTTTTACTTATTTTTTGCTTCAAGTTTATGTTTGCATAGAGATAATCTACTAATAATACTACTAATAGAGTGATATTAATATAGAATATCGAAAGTATTGTATATAAAGTAAGTTAAAGTTTTATTATTTGTTACAAATTAGTTTAAAATATTTTTCATTTCTAAAACAGTATTAAAATCTAACAAAGATGACTAAACTATTAATATCTTTAGCTTTACTATCAATCACCACATGTTTGGCACAACAGATACCGTACCGACAGCTGAATGACGGCCACAAGATTCCGATCGTCGGTTTAGGTGGTAATCATGTGACCGAACAGTCTATTAAGGACGCACTGGATGCCGGGTATAGACATATTGATACCTCACTCAACTACATGGGAGGCGCCTCAGAGGCGGCCATCGGAAAGGTATTGAAAGAGACGTTCAAAGAAGGAAAGATCAAACGGCAAGACGTTTATATCACCAGTAAATTGGAGACCGAATACCATCCCCGCAAACAAGTCTCCGAAGGCATCAAGAAGTCACTGACTAATCTGGGACTCGAGTATCTCGACCTATACCTCATCCATACCCCTGCTTCCAGTAACGGGACAAACATCACTGTTGGGGAGACTTGGGAGGGGATGATAGATGTCCTGAAGGCAAACCTCACCCGATCTATAGGTGTCTCCAACTTCAATGAGAAACAATTGGATGAAGTGATAGCCAAAGGTGTCGTTCCGGTCACTAATCAAATCATATGTAATCCCTATATAAATCAGAATCAGATTTTGTCGTATTTGAATAAACATAACATAACTCTAACGGCTTATTCACCGATCGGTGGCACCCGTTATCCGGATCTTCTCAAAGATAAGAAACTCATTGAAATCGGAGCCAAACATAACGTGACCTCAGCTCAGGTGGCCCTCAGATTTGAGATCCAGAGGGATATCATTGTTATCCCAAATTCACAAAACCCTAAATATCTCAAAGAAAACGTCGATTTATTTAACTTTAAATTAACGGATGAAGAGATCAAAGAAATCGAGGCTCTGAATAAAAATTAAATGAATTTTTAGTTAATTATTTATTTATAAAATGTAATAACATTTTATTATAAACTATTTGAATAAAATAATTTATTAATAAATTTAAGAAATTGAAAATTGTTTAATTAAAAATTTATATTTTTTATATTAGTATTATTACTAAATTCAATTTATCAAATATTCTTTCTGGTATTTATTGTATAAGATATAGTCTAAAATAAATTATAATTTTTAAGTAAGTGATATTCAATTGTTTGTCAATTTATAATTAAAAGATTCGTTAATATTAATTAGTGTTTAACCTTTTATATAACATATAAATAAAAATTGTTACTACAGTAGTTTCTAGAGTATTTTATAGATATTACAAATATTTTTAATTTGAGACTTTGGCCATTTGGTAAGTGGGTATAATTGATCAGATAATTAAGTAATATACCTTTAAGATAAAAAGTATAATTCAATATCATTTCTTATAAGACATATAAACAAGTTGCAAAATTGGATATAAATGTTCTCGGATAGATATAAAACAGGATTTTAAAGTTACAGATAAGCACAATTACAGTTAAATTAATTTAAATTAGCATAACGCTCAAATATAAATTTATTACTTAATATAAAACTAATATATAAATAATAACACTATTACTATTAACTATAATAAAATTTAAATTTATAAATTTATTGAGAATTAATAAGCAGTAAAGAAAATCAATGTAAATATTTCTGAAATTATAAATAATTATCAAAGGTTTTCAAGTGCATAGAGATAATCATAAATTAAGATTATGATTAAAATTTATTAACACGAAAACATCGATAGTGCTGTATATAAAACAAGCAAAAATTTAAATTTGCAATTAATTAAATAACTATTAATTTCTAATACAGTATTAATATTAGACTCAAAATGTCTAAACTCTGGATAGCATTGACTTTAATATCCATCACCTCTGGTTTGGCACAAGACATACCGTACCGACAGCTGAATGACGGCCACAAGATTCCGATCGTGGGTTATGGCGCCGGACACGTGTCCGTTGAGACGGTAAGGGAGGCCCTGAACGACGGCTATAGACATATCGATACAGCGCTGAGCTATATGGGCGGCACCTCCGAGAAGGACATCGGAAAGGTATTGAAAGAGATGTTCACATCGGGTAAACTGAAACGATCGGACGTTTACATCACCAGTAAATTGGAGAACGACTACCATTCCCGTAGTAAAGTGCACGATGGCATCAAACAGTCACTGGCTAATCTGGGACTCGACTACGTCGACCTATACCTCGTCCACTACCCGGCCTCCAATGTAGGAGACACTTGGGACGGCATGATTGAAGTCCTGAAGGCAAACCTCACCCGATCTATAGGTGTCTCCAACTTCAATGAGAAACAGTTGGAGGAAGTGATAGCCAAAGGTGTAGTTCCTGTCACTAATCAAGTCATATGTAATCCGTATATAAACCAGAAGAGTATGTTGGCGTTTGGCAATAAACATAACATAACTCTCACGGCGTGGTCACCATTGGGTGGCCCGAGTTATCCGGATCTTCTCAAAGATAAGAAACTCATTGAAATCGGCAAAAAACATAACGTGAGTTCAGCTCAGGTAGCTCTCAAATTTGGGGTACAGAGGGATGTCATTGTTATCCCAAATTCAGAAAACGCTAAATATATCAAAGAAAACGTCAATATATTTAACTTTAAATTATCGGACGAAGAGATGAAAGAAATAGAGGCTCTTAATAGGGATTAAACTATTTGTAATTAATTATGAATTTATAAAATTTAATAAAAAATTATTAGCAAACTATAACAAAAAAATTTTTTAATTATTTATTATTTAATAGAAAATATAATCTAAAAATTAAATATTGAATATGCAGGATTTTAAAAAGTAATATAATTTTAAAAATAAATGTATTATTTAAGGGTTATCTTGCAAATATTGAAAGTGAGAATTCTTTTATACTGAACATTATTTTGTAAGAAGACATTAACAGTATTTAAAGTTATATTGATTTCCAATAACTTCTAATACAATATATAAATAGGGTGTAGTTTCTAATATCAATATTAAAGTACTGTATTGTATGTAATGTCATACTAAATTATAGTAGATTAACACAATAGAGATAATTTCCATATTATATGCACTTAAATGCTCTATAAATTAATAATACCTTTATTTGTACTACAGTATAATACATTGCATGTTACGATTTTTAAGATATAATATTTTACTCTTTAATAATGAAACTATTAATAAACCCAAAATTGTTAAATTTTAAACTAGATCTTAAATTTATAA